ATAGAAGAAGAGAAACGAAGGAAGGAAGAAGAACAGAGACAGATAGAAGAAGAGAAACGAAGGAAGGAAGAAGAACAACGGCGGATAGATGAAGAGAAACGAAGAAAGGAAGAAGAACAGAGACAGATAGAAGAAGAGAAACGAAGGAAGGAAGAAGAACAACGGCGGATAGATGAAGAAAAACGAAGGAAGGAAGAAATGCAAAGACAAATAGATGAAGAGGCACGAAGGAAGGAAGAAGTACAAAGACAAATAGATGAGGAAGCACGAAGAAAGAAAGAAGTAGAGAAAGTGGAAGAAGGAAAAATAGCCGTAGAAAAGATTGTTAAAGAAGAAATCATCGAAGATAAAGCAATAAAGGAAGCAGAGAAGAAGCAGGAAGAAGTAAAAGAGCCTGCAATAGTTACTAAGTTGGTAAAAGAAGAAATCATAAAGACAACAGAAATCAAGCGGGAGGAACCGAAAGAAATTGTCGAGAAAGTCCACGTAGAAGAAGAAATACTGAAGACTGTGGAGAAGAAAGAAGACGTGCAAAAGGTTCTAGCAGACGTAACGGTGAAACAAGAAATTGAACAAGTTACGGGAGTACCAGAGAGTGTAAAAGAAACAGTCTCTGAAGTAGGCGTTAAAGAAGTAGAAATGTTTAAGAAAGAAGAAATTATTAAGGAGCCAGAGATAGTAGTGAGAGAAGATGTCGTCAAGGGGAAGTCATCTGGAAAGCGGATCATAACCGAGGAAACAACGATCATTTACAAGGTACAAAAAGACGGGACACTTGTTCAGGAGCAAGTGTTAAAATCCGTTCAAATAGGAGACGAGAGCGGCAAAATGGAAACGATAACCGGGGTCCCCGAGGACCCAGAAGGAGCCGCGCTGTTCAAAAGGATCACGTCCGAAGAAATGCACAAGATCCAGCCGCAGGAAGAGATTGAAGAAAGGAGAATCGAGGAAGAAGATAAAAAAGAAGCGCCTCCATCAATGCAGAAAGAAGGACAGAGACCAGAGAAATTGGAGATAATTCCCGATAGAGAAGTCATCAAACCCATAGACTTGGACGTGAAACAAATCAAGAAGGAAGTAGACGAAATTTCTAGAGTCGCTGAAGAAATGGTGACAGAGGCGAAACAGATTAAGAAAGAGTCGCGCATTCCGGTCTCAACTGCGAAAATGGACAAAGGCAAAGTACAAAAAGAGGTGAAACTAAAAATTTCACCGACCAGCAAACCTGAAGCTGTGAAGGACACCATTCTGGAGAAAGTGGAGACGGTACCGATGGCAACCAAACGAAAAGAGTTCGAGTCTCAGATACCTAAACGAGTGATAGACACTAAGGCAGAAAAGTCTGGTCAAAAAGACACGCACGTTAGAAAGGAAAGCGAAACGTACACGATCACCGAGAAGAAATCAAGCGAAGAAGTGACTACGAAGCTGGAGCAACAATCGACCACGAAGAGCGAGACGCAAACGTTCTCGAAGATCTTCACCGATCCGCAGGACGCGTTCAAGATGTTCGAGAACCTGGACAGCGCGAAGAACGATTACTCGACGGTCACCTCGAAGATCGACCAGAAGACATCGAGCACGGTGGAGAAGAAGGAAGTGAAATCGTCGGAAATACACACAGGAACGGATAAAATAATCACTCACGAAGAGAAGGAACGCGTGGAGAGAAAGAAGTCCTCAGAGTCGCAGATGAAGAAGGAATCGCCGACAGAGACATTGGAGGAGAAGAAGAGCAAACGCGAGGAACTGGATAAAACGGCTGTCCAGAAGATGTCCATGAACCTAACGGACAAACAGGAGATAATAGATGCTTCCGCCTCCGAATCCAGAGCTAAAACTAAGGAAGAGAAGACGTTCAAGAAGCTGTCGGACAAAGATGGCGTGACGACTCACGAAGCAGGCAGCAGCACGGTGCAAGAAAGCGACGCAGACGTTGCTATTCGAATAAAGAAAGACATCTCCGAGGAAGCCAGCGAGAAGGACGGCATCAAAGTTCTCGAGGAAGACGCAACAGGTGAGAAGGTCTTCGAGCCGGTCACCGATTCGGCCCAAATAGAGAAAATCGCGCACGCGGAGTCGCACAAGGAGACGAAGGAAAGTTTCGAAGTGACGCAGTTCGCGCCGAAAGAGAGGACACCGGAAGAGAAGCCTCGAGAAGACACTATTAAGAAAATTGAGGAACAAGTACCTGAGGTGGAAAGTCTAGAAGAGAGGCAGCGTCAGAAGTTCAAGGAAATCGAAGCACGAACGATAGCGGAGACTTTAATACAGTCGATAGAGACCGAACTGGAAGCGAAATCAGCCGAGAGTCTGAAAACAGAGCTGCTAACCAAAGGTTACCTGGAGCAGATCATAAAGGAAGGTACGGAGACTGATCACGAGAAGCTGGCGGACGAGCTGACGCGCAAGTTCGAGAGTATAATGAAGAAACTGGCTGATAAAGAGATGGAGAAATCGAGGACCGAAGAAAACCTGACGGATGGATC